TTGTTCTCTCTTGAATTTTAAATTCTGTCATAAATGTTTTTTTTCTTTTTTTTTTGTTTTAAATAAGGTACACAGTATACCTTAGCATCTTAAAGTTTTCGAATTGAGTAGTTTAAGGAAAAGTTTTCGTTCGTTAAACTGGTAGCTGCGAAAAGGACATGAAAGCTATTAATAAGCTTTTTAAAACGATTTAAAACTTGCAATGCCCCGAACATCAAATTGTTAAGAAGACAATGCGATAGTCGTCGCAAAACTCAAAAGTTTCGCATATATAATTAATGAATTACGGAAAGGAGGCAACAACCGACAGGAAAAAAGAATCGCAAATGGAATGCACGGTTCATTTGTACTCTCATGCATTAATACATTCATGCATAAAGTTATGCATACTGGCGCATATAAGACATTTGTCCAAAGAGCGATGAAAAATATCGCGTAACTTGTATTTATCAATCATAATGGAGAAGAAAGTTTTTTTTTTGTGTCTGTTTTGCGCGCATTTTTGTTGGTTGCGCTATGTTGTGGATGAAAATTTGCATATAATTGTAGGAAAATTACATGCTGTGTACATTTGACAAGTGATTCGTTTTTGTGACGAAAATCTTGCAGGAAAATCCACATGAGAGCGCCATAATCAAAAAAAATGCCCGTCCAACGGTCCGTTTGCTGGCTTGTACTATTTCTGTGTGACTGAGCAAATAAGTGAAAAATGTGTACATGAAGGAATTGCTGTGGCAGTATGAGAACAGAATTATAATTGGATGCGCTTTAAAGCCATTGACAATCATTATGATGTATGCAATGGTACAAACATGAGAATATATCTACATATGGGCGTCTGTGGCTTCGATGGGTAGCAAAGACAAGTGTGATTACTACAATGGTAATGAAATTTTGTAGGTGGCATGTGGTTTCAGTTTATGATAATGTCGCTTTGTCGCACTTAATGTATACTTTCTCGTGTACGTGCCATGAGTGCCCATGAAAATTTATGCTTAACGTTTTTCATCATCACAATCATTCACATTATCATTATCCAAAGTGGATAGTTAAGGTTTTGAATATAAGTTAATGCGAGATTTATTTACTTATATGTGTAATATGCAATCAAGAATGACAAAAAAAAAGCATACTAACTAATGTCTCTTATACGAGTGCAGTTGTCGAAGTATTCTAATAAAAATATTTTTTACACCATGCAGCAGAAGTCACAAACGTATATTTAGGTATGTGCGTATGTATGCAGCACCGAGAAGTAATTCGGGTAGTTTCAGCTTTTCTTATACCGAGCTTGTCTGTCCGTCTATCCGTCTGTCCGTCTTGTTTTCTTACATTCCACCTACAAGTTTTTGAGATATTTTGATGGAAGTTCCCATCCTGGCATATTCTGACCAGTAAACGATCATTATTGAAAATCATTTGGATCAGATCACTTTTTCGACCACTATCCAGGTTACAAATTATTATGAAAAGTCGTTATTTGAATAGCTGTAGATTGATGTAAGGCATTTAATGGCGAGCCATGCTCGGCTATAGTATTTTCACTTGTTTTATTTCTCAATCAAGTTTCATTTTTTAGTTAAAAGTTCTGACATACTGTCGAATATCCTTGACCGTCACAACATAGCATTCAACTTCATACTTGACCTTTTTATCGTTGGCAAATGTTCTACTATTTTATCATTTTTTCAAGTTCGAAAAGAGAGTAAGTGTGGCGATAATTAATAAACTGGGGCATCGTATTGACCTTCGCCTTCGCACCTCGTATTATTTTATTTTATTTTGGTAAACAAACAAGAATATTCCCCCAGAGTAGGCTTAGGTGGGCTTGGATAATTATTGAACTAACATCTCTCAATTGCGAATATTATACGTACGATGACCCAATTATTTCACGTTTGCAAATTGGATGACAGTCCTTATTATTAATGGCTGTCAAACAATACTAAGCTTCTTCAAACTTAAGTTTTACACAATAAACGTCATTGACATAGCACTTTGTATGTTACTGAGCTTATCCTCGCATATGAAATGGCAGCAGCAACTTGAATGTAAGGTTTTATTAGATTACCTAAAGGCGGATAAGAAGAAAATAAGAAGAAATTTGAAGAAAATAAAAATATCTTAAATAGTAATTATTACGTTTTTAATGACACGATAGTGACAAAAAAATGCATTATGTTCGCAAAGTGCACTCAGTTTTATTACAAACATCGCTTGAAAGAAGCGAAGAAGGCAATCGATGGGTTGCATTACGGGTGATAAAGCACCCGACACGGACATGGGAAACACTTGATAGATGTTAAAATCTACTTTCATGATTTATACTTCCGGGAACAAAAGTTATTTTCCCTCTCCCTTATGCCGAGCAAAGGCATCTTGACAAATGATACTTCAGTCTAAATGTCAAACGTTCAAGAAATCAAAATTTCTCAGTTTTCCTTATTCATTATTGCCGTACTTACTGCTAATTGAAATTTGAGTAGATATTTCCTTCATAAGTTCAGTATGCATATTTCTGCCCTACTTTTATGGCTCTACTGTTATAACATTTACACTATGCGCAAATCATTAAATCAAACAAACCTTGCTTTTATAACAGAGTTAAACAATGTTGTCAGTTAAGAGGAACTTTGTATAGTTAAGGAAATGCTTACTCAAATTTTAATTTCAATACGCAAACATATTCACAGCCTCCCTTTTCTTCTGAGGTTTGGTTGCTGTTTTGAAAGATCGAAAACCGTATAGATCGGGTTTTTGAACATAGTTGTAGAACCGCATTACACTTATTTGGGCTAGACTGGCTGACAGTAAGGAGCACGTACACAAAAAACCGGTTTGAGATAACAAACATTTAAAGCTTAGCTCAGCAAATAGCAATCGGAACGCCCGCAATTATTAGAGCAGTTATTGGATATAGGCAAAGCAGTATGGAAGTAAGGCCAGAACTTCCATCATATCGAAATTCCATAGTTTAAATGCGTTCCTCCCTACTTCACAAATTTAACTGCAACTGCACAATGTGTGAAAGAATGTTTTCATCTCTAAACTCTCTCTCTCTCTCTCTCTCTCTCTCTCTCGTTCTCTCTTTCTCTTTCTTTCTCTTTCCCTCTCGTTTTCTCTCTCCCCATTCAAAACGAAGCCCCCAAATCGATTTTTCATAATAAAGCCGCGATTCTCACTAGATGTTAGATCATATTTTTGCACGAGTTCTGTGTTCTTACTTTAGGGGCGCAGAATTGTAATCTTTAACGGTACGGCCAAGTCGAAGCAAAAACGATTATTTTTCAGCAGAGTTCTTTCGAATTTGAACAGCTACACTGTTATATACAAATATCCGACTAATTATGAATCTTTTCACATTCTTAAGATAAATTTTGAAAAGTTACTCTATTACCCACTAAGCTGTGATTTTACTGTATTGATGGTGTGGTCACATTTTGCGGTTTGCGGTTATAATTTCACAACAAAGCTTTTCAGCACTTTTTTCCATTTGAATGGTAAGCAGAATAATCGCCACGGATTAAGTAAAAGTTGCATAAGCAACTAGTCTAGGTTTGCAAATGTAGCTCCTATAGTTACTACCAGGGCACGACGTCTCGGACGATGGCTCAACCTGACTCCAAAGCACTTCGGAACATTTTTATTGTAAAACCTTGCCTTGAAGCGCTGCCTAAAATTTAACACCCTAGCTAGTCAGAAGGGTTTTTAGAGAAGAGTGCAGGTGTTCTTTGTTGTCTTGTGGCAACACTTCTTCGTCTAATATACACCGTCGATTAGTAGTAAGTTGATCACAACGGTTTAACAATTTTCTTCTTAGGTATATGATAGATCCGTCGAAAAACATGTTTGTGAATTACAATTGAAATTCTTCTCATACGTCATAAATAAGCGGTGCACAATGAAGCAAAGTGAGAGGATCCCTTGTAGCTACTGCAATAAATTGCGATTAGTTAAGAAATGCAGTATACATGTTGTACGGAGCAGGCTGTAAAACTGGTCCTCATGCTTAATGGATGTGAGTTGTCAAAAACAAAAGCTTAGCGCTATAGTTTCATTAAATTTCACACTTACCTTACATCGAATCCGTTTATAACACTTACCTGTATATGTACATATATATATATATATATGACGTTAATTTTGTAATTATAAAGCTGATCACAGCATATAGTTATACTGTTTAAGCATTATTGAAACACTAATTGCTTCATTACAACACACATCACTAATCACAATATGTTTGCATGTCCTTTTATGCGTCCTTGTAAATAAAAACCCCGTAGAATACATGTTAAATGAAAGTGGATCACTTGTAATAAAGCCCGCATAGAGAGAAGATCGTGTTTTCCTTCTTTAAAGAAAAAGTCATTCATCTTGAAAGCATAGAACAAGTACTTTGGATAGTGATAGAATCATAAATCTATTACATAACAACTATTATTTATTGTCAAATAAATCAAGCGTGAAAATCTCTTAACAGATGATACAATGTTCATACATTATATATATAGTACCTACGTTATTAACGATCCTGTACGTAAAACCCGTGTACTGATAGTTAGTTATATATATGTCAACGAATCTGTACATGCTTTCACTCTCTTTCTTTTATTTAATTATTACTTTTCTCTTTCACTCTAAGAACTTACATTAAACGTTTAATTCTACTCCCATTACAAATGTTTCACGGCAACTGCGTCATTGACGATTCTTTATTTACATCCTGCGAGGCCAATTAGTTAGCAACGAACCTGTAAATGCTTTTTTTTGATTGCTATGACGATATTCCTATTTTATGTATTACTTTTTCCTCCACTTACTTCTTCCAATTCATAAAATAAAGAAATATTCTGGCATTTATATTAGAAACACGTAAAGCCCTTAGAGTGGACCACTGCACACTATAAAATTCACTTCCCATTACACGGTTTTTCATATACCGGTTTTTTAAAATAATGCGATATACGAAAAGTGGGGAGCAAAAGTGATTTGAATCGGATTATTCAATAGTCTTGGGATTAAAACACGATCTTGGACTAAACGATGTATCAAATTTCAAGAAAACATCTTTAAAATTATGACCTCTATGTTAAACGCAAGAATGCGAGAGGAACAGACGGGCAGACGGATAGATTGGCGGGCAGACAGAGGGACGGACCAGCTTCGATTGATTCAGGAGATGATTCAGAAGGTGATTCTGAACCGATCGGTGTCATGAAAGCTGGATCTACCTTGAGGCCTTTTTGGTGTTATGCACTTCCACGTACAGTTAACATACCCATACGACAGACATTGGACAGATTAGAAGATGAATATGGATAAGACAAGAAAAAAACGCGTGATATGAATAAACGAATTAAAGTAACAAGAAAAATAAATATAAATAATGTCCCTCGGAGCCGTAATTCAAAATGGACAAAAATGAACCAATCATGTTAATAGCATGACCTTGTAACCAGAAATTTAAGAAATTTATAAGAATAGAAAACAAGAAAATGTTAATAAAATAGTTTTAATAAAAGTGGACTATAACGCGCCTATGAAATCTAAACTTTGCGTGGTCGGTTGCGAAATTTTAGTTCACGAAAGTACTGTCAGATAACTTCTTTCCTCTAGTTAAGTGGGCGGTAAAAATATAAATTTTCTTACATAGGGCAACCACTGTCCCATCTCATCAAAAGAATTTACTTTCTTACATACATGATATCGTAACAAGCGATGGATAACTTACGAGCTCACCTATGTCGCTCCAACATTCCTTCAAATAAGTATTGAAGAAGTTCTCACTTCGCAGTCGATATTTTCAAATGAGGGAAAAACTTTGCTTAAAAAACCTCAAATAGCAATTTCGTTGGAAAATAAACAATTTTTGATTTTTTAATTCACGAGTTCATCTTAGATTTTGATCGGACAACGATACATCAAATTCAATTTGTCAATATCTTTCTCGCTCATGCCTAGACGTTGGCCCATATTGCCAGAAGCCTCATTCACGTATAAAGGTATTATTGTGTCTTCCCCATTAATTGAGAAAGCCTTCGGTCCGTAATGCAGAACACTGCCGTAATCGTATTCTTGATCGAAATCATTCACTTGTGTTTCATTGTATTTGTTGAAATTATGCAAATTCCTTGGATCAATATTTTCTTCAGCGATATGTACGTAATCATCGCGATTTGTAGCACTTTGCATATGGAAGAAGCCCAAAGTGTGCAAGAACTCGTGTACAATGGTACCCAAACGGAAGCAACCCGTATCGAGGGGATACACTTCTAAATTATACGTTTGTGCGCCTTCGTTTAGCCAACCCACTTCAGAGTAACAACCTCCCACAAAACCAGAAATGTTCACATAATTCGGTGTATTTGCGTCGGCTTCCTTGAAACGTATGCAAGAAATTTCTTCGATAATTTTCATGCCACGCAATATATAATTATGATGGTGTTCATCTGATAAGCGAAATATTTTTTTAAAAAAATTCAAATCGTATAGAATTGCGTTGTTTGCACTCACCGAATACGGTAAAGAATTTATAATACACGGTATTATTTGGCCAACGCCAAACTTCATCGCGCAATCCGTTGCGTTGGCGAGAAGTTAAAACCATATCACCTTCCACATAACCAGCATTCAATTCGGGATCTTTCTCGATATAATTCTGTGCAGGTAGTGATCGACCGAAACCGATAAACAGGAAAACTAAGAAGACTCCGTACAAACGCATTTTGTTATGTGAATTTAAAAACACTAAACATTGCCTTAGCTAAAATCATTTTATTTATACGGTTCGTGGTGCATCGTAAACTTATCATTTTAACTGATACTAAGTGATTTATAAATCAAATATAATTTTGGTCTAAATGTACGTCAGCACATTTAGCCTCTGCAAGTCATTTCAAATTCAATAGCGCAAAAAATGCTAGCATAAATTACAAATTCTTTTTTTAATTATCTTATCGCATTTCTTTTCCTCCAATCGATAAATTAATATTGTACAAGTGGAGGCGAAATTTAATCGATGACATTAAAGCTAAAGCGCAAACATTGTAAATCTTCACTTAAATACATCAAATTTCAATCTTATGCACTGATTACTTGCTTTTAATTCATAAACTTCTTATCTGGAATAAAATAAAAACGAAACTACTTATGATCGAGTTCGGATATTCGATACCAGAGACCTCTATAATTGTACTTAAAAACGCAAGTAAATTCTTATGTTCAAGTCAGACAACTAGAAATTGCAGTCAGACTAGAAGCCAGCAAAAATATATAGCAGTGAAAATTCTCTTCATAGACTTTGGAGATTTAGAGAGAAACAATTTGAATTTTAAAAGTTTAGCTGCGATAATTATTCGTGACGGCAGGATTGCGTTGCACCAAACGTTTCGGGTCTGTTCCAATCGAGGGGCACTTTCAAATTTGATTAACAATCTTCTGCAATTGATGTCGCAAATATATAAATGATTCTCGAACTCCTGTAACACATGATGATTAACAAAAATACTCTATCTATAATCTGGTTCGACCGCACTAAAGTGTAAAATTTTGCAATTTACCCTAAGCATGGGTCATGACAAGTCGGCAGATTTTGAGAATTCGTCAAAAATAGTTCTGAAAGTACTCATCAACATATTTTTGTTTTTTTTTTTTTTTTGCTTATTTCAAAGGCATTATCGCATATTATTATTACTCTAATTATTATCATTATTAATTTAGCCAGAGAAATATATTCTAAGACTAAAGTTTTAAAGCACTAGCATCTGCAGCACAGCCAGAGAAGTAAATTTTAAGACTAAAGTCTTAAAGTACTGCCACTTCTGAGGCTATCGCCTTTATTGAAAACTCTACCGCTCTCTGCTCTTTAGATTTGAACCCACCACCACCGAGTTATTAGTCGAGATCCTTGACCTACTCGGCCACTCTTATAGCTTCGCGTGATTCAAGTGACAATAGATGGGTTTCTGTAGAGTGGCGGTCGCGAGCTTTCTAAGCCGTAAGAACACTTGGATGTTAACATTGACACGATCGAATAGGTTTATTGAAGCGGTGTCTTCTTAACCCGGGGTTCCTACTTTTCGCTTCTATTCACATACAATAAAATTAAACATTTAAGGCAAACAACAATACGAAACAGAAAATTTGTCAACAACACACGCTTACAGCAGCAGCAAATTTGTTTTAATTATCAGATAAACATAATTTATTACTTGCATTTAACAATCTACGCTAAAACTATTTGAAAGTAATTTTCTATTAATTAGTTAGAATATCGAACAAAAAAAATATGTATAAGGAATGCTTTGTTTATGTTTATTGTTTTGAATTGTACTCTTGATGACGTACGCTTCCACATTTCAGTTGGTCATCAATGGCAATTCGCATGGGTATTCAATGTCTCGTTTCAATGTCTCCTGAATTAATGGTAAATGATCTCATACTTTAGTCACAAATTTCCATCCTCCGCCCGCCCCGTTCTCGGGCAATCCCAATCATTGACGTTAGGATACCAGATTTTCCCACTACTTAGCGATGATCGCTTGCCATCAACAAACTACTTTTTTAAGCATTCGTTAGATGGAGTCTACGAAGAAAAATTTTAGTTGTTGTACATTATTTTAAAGGCATTTTTACATAGACTTTCGTGACGTTTACAAAAATATCTTAAATTTTCTAATTTGGACGGACTAGGCCTCCAAATCGAACCAGAAGCTGACACTAACTATACCACAGGGTTATGGTAGTGCTCTGTTAAAGTAATTAGTGCATGCTTTTGCTAAAAAAAAAAAAATGCTAACATATCTTTGCAATCTTATGTAACTTTAATTCATCTTATATATCATACATTTATGCCAGAGCTTTTTCCAACCCTCGAAGCACTTCCGATATTCGCTTTTTGATATGGCTTTGATGCCAGAGCTTTCCCGATCCTCGAAGCACGTCCGATGTTCGCTTATTGGTATGGCTTTGAGCTCTCCGCGTTACGGTCTTTATCTACTTAATCGTATATTGTGATTGATTAGAAAGCTTTTCGTCGGTTTACTCGTTGATTCGTATCAGCAGTGAAATCGGCCGTAAGTTAGGTGTACGATAGGTTTTACCTCTTCATCATGCCATTACTTTGGATAACATGAACGGTGTTATGCCGCAAAATATAAATATATTTTCGATTAATGACTTTCTGTCAAGTTTCAAAAAACTCTTTAAGAACTTTTTGAGGTAAAAACAATGTGTTATCGAAATCAACAATTTGCCTTTAGTGAAGGACATTAAGGTCAAGGTTTAACCTACATAGCATTAAGGGGTCAACTGGAAGTCACTTTCTGAGAAAATTATGAATACAGCCCCTAATTTCACTGTAGCATTATAATCAAAAACATGGACTGAGGATAATTATTTCTTGATGACTTATGTTATCATAGATTTAAAACTCAGATGAATTTATATAAACCCATTTAAAAACAAGTAAGAATAATATAATGGCATACGACGCACCAGCAAATACCTTACACCACTTCGCTTAATACAGATATTTTTGCAAACACTTCTTAAAATCAGGTGCTATATGGAAAGTGGTCAAAAAAACTGATCCAATCCAAAGCATTTTCAATAGGTTACGGCTTTGGGTCAAGACATATCGGTTTATCAAATTTCGTCAGTATATCTCCAAATTTACGACCTGTAGCTTGACCATAGAAAAACAAGTTGGACAGACGGACAAAAAAGCTTAGATCAATATAGAAAGTGTCTCTTAATCGACTCGAACCATAAAAGGTGGGTCCATCTTACATCTTAGTGGCATAGATCCGCAACATACTTTTGTACTCTCGTGTAGGCTAAAGAAGTTCTCGCAGATCCTAAAGAAATGAAATCAAATCTTACAAAGTTATTAACTGCACGTACACGGCTTTGTCCATTGCGAAGCAATTTGGCTTACCCGTCTTTTTTAAATCCTTCCTTTGATGTCACATTAAAAATTATTATCATATTGAAAATTCCAAGAAGTTTTTCTAAAACAATTCGTTGTACATTCTTACGGAACGAAGAAAAATCGTAATTTAATATTCAATAATCTGTCAGCTCACTGACAGTCGTTTATTGATGGTATGGCAAATTTAAATGTTCGCTTGATATGTTTGTGGAGACATTTTTTTGTTTTTTTTGTGTACGTGAGTGTGCTTATAGGCAAATGAACGAACGGACAGTAAATCTATCAAGTCATGACTAAAAACAGTCACAAACATGACACATGAGTGTCAGGCAATCCGACACAACCAAAATCAAACAAATCACACTTTACACACTTGAAACGACACGAAAGAATTGAGGAATTGCTATAGTGTGTAGTAGTAGTAGTAGTGGTAATAGCAATAACAGTAGTACTAGTAGAAAAACTACCGCACAACCTAAACCAAAAGCATAAACTTACACAAAAACAACTATGCTAAGGAATAGAAAGTTAAGTGATATAAATAGAAAAAGTAATTCGACCTAACGCATACACAAGCACACACGCGCACATACACTCGCGCAGAAGCCGGTATTAGAAAATTTTTTTTTGGTTTATTTTTGAAATAACGGCAAAAAAATATGAAAGAGAAATTCTTCAAAAATTCTCTTACAATCTTATCACTGAAAGCGAAAACTCTTATACTTGTGTATTAAAATGGCTTCGTATGATTGCCAGTGGTGAGTAGAGAAAACCCAGTATTTCATTGTTTTTCTACACTACTACCCTACTCTCTACTAATGATATTTTCTCTCTTCGTTTTTTGCATAGTAGTGACGAAATTCCTTTACTTTTTGTACTACAAACATTGCAAACGTTTACCGTTCCAAATCAGTTAACTCGGAAGCGTGGCCATGTTAGTTTTGTGGCAGACAACGTAGCGGATTTGTTTGAAAAGTTTCTGCTTTTAAAAAAAAGGAAATAAAATAAAATAAAAACATATTAAATTTTGTGGAAAATGTTTACTATACACAACGACAACACAAAATGTTAAAAAACCTTTAAAACTAAAAAAAAAAAAAAAAATAAAAAAAATTAAAAATAAAAAACAAATAAAATTAACAAAAAGCATTTTACTTAAGAATGATTACAAAACTAGTCCTTTCTAACACTTTATGCATGAAGTATAAACAACAGCAGCAACAACAACAACAACAACAACAATTAAGTATTTGTTGCTAATTTTTTGTTTCTTTTTTTACTGATCTAACAAAACGAAAGGAAAGAAGGCTAACTTTCAAAAAAAAAAAGAAAAGAAAAATACAAAAAAAAAAAATAATATATATATATATATATATATATATATATTATTTGAAATTGTATAATTTGTATAAATTGTTATTAGAAATCTGCTTAAATGTTATTATGCTATTAAAAGCAATTCATACGATTATGAATGTGTTAGCGTGCGCGTTGGTGTTTGCGTGCACTTATATGTTTTTTCGAATTTAACGAGCACTTTTATATGTGTGCGTGTGCACTCTAAGCATCCACTCACTCCAATCTATGACCCCTATAGTAGTCAGCAGCAACAATATCAGCAGCAGCAGCGGCAGCAGTGGTACATGAAAATGGGCAAATGTTAACCTAATTTCCAGTGAATATAATTTTATGCTTTTTTATTTTCTATACATAAGAAAATCTAGAAATAAAGAGAAGAAAAATGTATGCTAAACAAATTTCATACATCCATACATACATAAGTGGATAGTTAAACCAATGGGTTGGTTATTCGTGTAAAGTGTATATTTGTATATGAGTTAAAACACACTACCAAACAGAGTGTTGAAAAGTGTGTGAAATAATATGAAAACCATAATAAATTCATTTTCAAATAAAAAAAGAAAAATGTTACCAAAGTGTACATATACTACTACTACTACTACTACTACTACACACTCTATACTATATTATGTGAACAATTTCGGGTTTTGTGAATGTTAGCTGACTCAAAGGTAAATATTCTCTTTGTTAAATATTAAAAATTGTAATAAACAAATTTATCAAAAAAAAAAAAAATATATATATATATATATACATATATATATATATATATATATAAAATTGATTTATTGATACTATCTGGCCTTCAGAAAGAATTTAACATCATTTTATAGCTCCTTAGCTCTTAACAATCAGTTGCTTAGCAAGTTAGGAGTTATTTCAACTTGTATACACTTAGCTTTCTTATGCTCTTTAGAATTTTTCAGACGACAATCATTACAACATTAGGGATTTGTTCATTAATTTATTAATTTTAAATCTTTCTATCATATATATATATGTATATATATATATATACGTCAAATTCAACGGCGACATCCTTGCTCAGTATTCTAGGCCTTTGACTTTGCAACAGAACAATAGAGCTCCTTAGCTGTTAGCGATTAGTTACTTATATAGCTCCTTAGCTCTTAAGAAATACTTCAACTTTCCCATGCTTTGTTGAAGTTTTGAGAGGGCAATCATCAAAATTTTGGTGAATTGTTAATTAATTTATGGATTTCACGTTCGCTATACGATACCATACGTGAAACGCATTTTCTTGAAAATATACAGACCCATATCCTATGAGTATGGCTTTTAGAGAGGAGAACAAAACTTTTTAGCTTCTAGCGATTAGTTACCTAATTGTAAGCATTTCTAATGTTTTTTGGAAGACAATTATAAGAGGAGAACCTTCAGAACATTACGAATTGCTAAATCATTAAATAAATTTGAATCCTTGTATATAAACATCTTGTACCTAAACATCCTTACAGAGGAATAACAAACAAAAAAAAAAAAAAAAAAATTTACTCGTCTTAAAAGAAGCCCTGATAGTCGGGTAAAATTATATCATGTTTTCCCAAATACATTTCAATAGAGTAATTTACGCAAAACTTTCATTGGTTTCCATTTAATTTTAATTTAATTCTAAGCAAGTGTTTATGTTGATAAGAAATAATCTCACTAGAGAAAACCCATAATATGCCCTAAGAAGGAAATTGGAATCAAAAATAAAGCATACTTTTCGTAGCTATTTTATATATATAACTCGTTACTTAAGGCCAATATGCAAATCGTTCACTTTAGAAGTGACGTAAGTCGCCTTATTGTAAAAGAAAAAAGTATTTATGGACTCTCTCCTATCACAACTACAGTTTAATATTATCATCGCTCGTCATAACAATTAAATTGAAAATCTCAATGCAAATGCAAGTTACCCAGATCATATGGTTTAGGTTACTCTTAAAACGATGTCCTGCTATAAAGCAGTCCACCCCTTATTGCAGTAAGCAAATAATATTTTTTTAAATATCTCTGAAAAATATTTTTAATGAACTTGAAATGGATTTTTTAAATGCTTGCAACATACAGCATTGTTGATTACCTGGCTCGGATATACGTGGAGAGGACAAAGCTCGCCTCTAAATGCTTTACTTAAGCCAACAACTTATGTTCGTTTATGAAATTGCCGGTTTCGCAACACAGACTAGACTGTAATGCTCGTAAAGGCGAACACTGAGATATCCAAAGCAAGGAATGATGCCAAAAGCATCAAAGCATTTAAGCGAAAAATTAAACAGGAAACGAGGAGATAAACTTATAAGAGAAGTCGCGTCAGTCTCATGCATCAGATTTATCAAGAATGTAAGACCAGTTATTCTTGCAATAGTCAAATGTTGAATAGACCGAGTCAGCTACTGGCACATGCGATCTGCCTTAACTCTTTACACTTTTATGTCGACTATGTGTCGTCGACATTGTATTTCTAACACCAATTCCTACGTCGACCTGTAATCGTCCTTATATTATTTGTAAGTATCAACTAAAGAGTTAGCGACGCGTAAAAAGAATAATTACGAGCTCGAAGCCTTAAATGTCCCAATATATCCCAAACAGCAATTATGCGGTTTTTATAATAAACTCTTTGAACGTGCATACTGAAAAGTTAACGTTGATTTCTATGTTCAGAGACCGATTTATTACCGAAGGTATTGAAAAAATAACGGCGAAGTGAATAAAAGAGCAACTGAAAAACGACAACCGGGCGCACGAGTAAATAAAGATCGAAGGATTATTGTATTACTTAAGCATATTTGTATTCTGGAGAATAGTTTAGACAACTAAAAAACATATATATGAACATGTATGTGTAGTACTTGGAAAGAAAAACGCATTCACCGTAACTAAGCCGAATATAGAATATTCACGGTCGCGATTGCCCAAAGAAGTTATTTTGACTGCTTTTTAATTTGAATTAGGAAAAAAAATTATATTTATAATGACTGACTAGTGACATTTTATAACTGATATAAATGCATTTATTAATGATTTTATTTATATCCCCTCGCTCTTTATGTCTCGTAAATGTATGCCTTTACTGCCCAAAAGCAGACAAAATGATGAGGTATATATTAACTCTTTCTGGTGTTAAAAAGGAAGTGAATGTCTCTTGTGCTGATAATTTTCAACAGCGTCTTTTATTAATGGCACAGTTGAGCATAAGCATACATGCATGCATGCATACCGAATCCCATGTGTCTATTTTTTTTTTTTTTTTTAACTTTTAGACAATACAATATATTTTCTGCTATCGAAGTATTTAGTTAAATCTTTTTTCTTAAACTTTTTACATTAGTTTTCCTAGTATTCGGACTTGTCAACGTAGACAAATTTGAAGTGAAATTATTTTGATAACAGATCGGAAATATTTAAAAAATATTACAAGGACAACGTTAACATTTCCTTTCATTACGTTTATTTCACTGGTATCTTCAACCAGTGAAGCCTCGATTAATTTTCAAAGTGATGAAGAAAAGGAGGAAATACAGTGAATATTTCTATAGGAAAAAAAAAATAAATAAATAAAAACAAGTAAACGCACTATAGTGGGCCATGGCTCGCTTCGCTTATGACAATTATTTATATAATGTCTTTTCAAGATAAGCCTTTCTACGAGAGGAGGTCGAAAAATTGGTCCGATCCGAACCATTTTCAATAGTGTTGGCCCTGCGACGTCTATGTTGAACACAAGCGAAACAAGATGGACAGGCGGACAGACAAAAGAGGGATTCTAGGAGATGGCTCTATCTCAAGGCTTGATACACCCTTGTCCTACAACTGGTGTAGGTCATAATGGTTGAGAGATCTGTAATAAAACGTGAAGCTACGTATTGGCAAAGGTTTTTAAAGCAATTTAGAGGCTCTGCTTCTGACATAGAGTTAACAAATGAAACTAATATCTCCAATTTGTTTATAATTGCGTTAAATAAGTTCTACACTTTCAATGTATGTTGTTAATCTGTCCATTGGCCATGAGTACATATTACAAGTTAGGGCAGTTCTGCAGTTTGAATGTAGGCATCTCTAGAATCTTCCTCCGTTCCTCCATGTACTCAAATATTAATCCTGGCAGTAATTAAGAAAAATAAATCTATGAAACAAAGTTTAGCAATAGGAAAGGGGCCTTTTTTGTGACCGTTTTCGTTAATAAAAAAAAAAACAACGGAACTTGAAAAAAAATATTCGAAAGTAGTTAAGGACAATAGCTTAACAGTTAAATAACTATTTGTATATAATTTATATAATGAGTGTAGAACTCAAGCAGGTATAGAACGGATACCAATGTGGATGTTAATCTGGGGAACGACTATTACAAACGACATACCTACTTGATCGTTTAAGAATTCATAGAATATTCTTATTTTCGAAATTAAAGAATTTGACTGTGGCATTGCGGCAAACTTTTACATTCGTTTCATTGCAACAAGTCATCGCACACTACCGCCAACCAGCTAAACTTTCTAAACCAGTTAAAACTCGTTAACCATAGCAAATGTTATTTAAAGTTTTTAAACCCTACACTTGTATATTCATACACATGTATTTATATAATTAGCAATGCTATTTAATTTGTAAGAGGCCTGCAAACTTTGTAACCGTTGCCTCTTTTCGCCTCTCGTAACTTATAATTTCAGTTGTAAATTAGCTTAGAAATAAAGAAGAAGAAGAAGAAGAAGAAAAAAAAAACCCCCACAGCATTTTTAATTCGCAAATAAAGTAAAATGGAATGCAGATGGCAGTTTGTAATTTCATTTTGCCATGTACAGATGATTTTCATACTCGGTGTTTGACTTGGAGAGTTTAGTTTTCAAAAATTTAAGGTCAAGTTTAAGCAGGCTGTTCAATTATAACCTAAGCATATAACCTAGTAATGTTTTTCTTTTTTTTCTTTTTTTCATTTATAAAAGAAACCATTAATGCGCTTGGCTTGACGATGAACTTTAGCATAAAGTAATGGCAAACAAATGTTTTACATGAAATGTTATTAAAACCGTAGATGAATATCTAACCATAGCTAAAACATTTCATAAGGAGTTTTCCAATACGAATGATATGACTTCTCCCCGTCATGGCCTCGTCATGGCCATATTTTAATTAGTAAGAGTATTCCATAGTTTATTGATTGTATTCGTATCATGAATGGACAGCGCTGTTAGATATTCAATACAGACTTTATTATTATTAATATTAATCAAGAATAATAAATAATTCCACGATGGCGTTAAGTCTTTCGATCGTTGCACTCCGTATTCTAATTGCTTTTTCCCCTTTAATATTTGATCGCTGACGCTAGGCCGACACCCGAACAAAGCATAAGTATTAAACGGAAAAATCATTAGGCTCTAGAATGTTAAGGGTTTACAAGATTCAATCCCGATTACTGATGTCAGCAAAATATGTAATAGTAAGACTGTTGTATGTTGATGATCACGACACTAGTAGAAGTGAAGCAAGATCAACACGATCATTTAATAAACGCTGTAAAGCAACATTAATCTAAACAACATCGTGTTGGAAATATAAGGCACTACGTGCTCCACAGTATATCGAACCATTTACTTAGTAGGTAATAAATTTGATAACACGAACATTTCGACATCGATTGGCTTCAAAGGAGCTTTAGTTC